GAGCATGAGACTCTTAATCTCAGGGTCGTGGGTTCAAGCCCCACGTAGGGCGCAAAACCTTTTCCTCTTTATCTCACACACTGATGAAACAGAATAGGGGGAGCACACTGCAGATATGGTAACCACAGTCGTACAGCATAGAACTCGTCGTGGCTTTGTACCCTACACCAAGCTGACTTCTTGTCTTCCTTTGACTAAACAATTCTGGAGTCCATGGACATGGTGACCACAGCAACAGGAAGACATTATAAAATGCTATCCTCGCTTAGTACTGCTACGTTTCTGGGGGTACTCCATCATAATAATTTTGTGGCCAAATAAAATAATGCCTTTAAATATAATGCATTCTAACTAAAAACTTAAAACACTGTAATTTCAATATGAATTTCTTATAATATTGATGAAACCTTGTTAATTTTAAAGGACATGGATTGTGTAGATGCTGTATTACATTAAATTAGTTGTTCTTTTCTAGTATTTGGACATTGCATGCATCTATGGAGAACTAAAACAAACACTTTTCAGTATAATGCAGTACACTATATAACTGTATTGTGTGACTGTGAATTACAGCCCCACAAAAACAAACAAACAGCTGAGTCAACAACTGATACAGTCTCAGCAAAATAGCAAAAATTATAAATGTTCCCAAGATTGTATTTATGGCAGGGTTATTATGTAGGATTCATTACATTTCATTAGAATTTAATGAAACAATTTTTCTATTCTTCTGATCACTGAGAATATTACTGTTGCTGTTACTACTGCTTATTGTCAAAACAACAAAACATGGTGGTTTATACAGCTGTATTTAATTATTGATGATCCTTATTAGCACTGGCACAGGTGTCAAAGAGGAAAGCCTACTCACGTTTAAAAAAATCACCCTTTAGTGTTCCTTGTTTTGGAGGACATGTTTTATTTTCATTCAGTTAGCTAACTGCAGGTTTGTATAAATATTTGTTTGGTTAACTGTCATTTATATATTATGTACGGATGTTATCACAGTAACAATGGTAATTTAAGTTCCCTTTCATGACACATAAACAAGAGTGATTACTTCAGACCTCTAGGTTTGTTTTCCTTTTCTCTGCAACATACTATAGAAATGTTTTGAATGTATAATTTTTATTTTTTTTCTACCTAATCCTTGTGTTTTTGTGCTGACAGAATTACCAAAATAGGTGAAGAACTGTGGTCTGTCTTTTCTCTGGAAACAGTGAGGAGGGAGGGAGGAGTTTAAACAAAGGCCCTCTCCACATAAAAAAATGGAGGCTTGTGCAGAGAAGCCATGGTGTCCTGCTCCTCAGACTCTACATGCTGCCATTTCTACTTCTAAAGCCTTCAGATAAGACAACTTCCTCAAGATTCTACACTTGGAAGCTTCAAAACATTGTTATATGGGTGTGTATGTCAAAAATATTCATATTACTTATGTTATTTTGTGGTTATAGGCCTAGCTCTTTGCTTATTTTTCTTCCCCTGTCTCTGATACTCAGAGTGCTGCCCCTGCCTGTACTGAACAAAGATAATTACTCAGGAAACGTTTCAGCCAATCAGACGTGGCCTTGCATTTTCCCTGTGAGGAAAGCGACCAGTCAGGTTTTGGCTAACATCACTGGGGCCTGATCGGCTTGCCTGAAGAGCGGAGCCTTTCTCAACTAAAGGCTGAGAGTGTCCTCCATGTTTTATAAGTGTTGACATAACAGTGTGTCAGGCAGCCATGCATCCACAGAGGTAAGCTCTGTCTTTTTTATCTCAGCTCTCTGATAACAACATGGCTTCCTTCTTGTTGTTGTGGTGACTGCTGGTGTCTCATGATGAATGTGCACACCTTAAAATCAGTTTAGTGTGCAGGAGGAGGAGCTGGGGTAGACTGGAGGCCTCGCCAGGCCTCTGTGCTCCACAGTGCTGAGGGTGGGGGCCTGGGTAACGACTCTCACCCTTGCTCTCTCTCTGTGTCTCAGGGTCACATGGGTGCCCCAGACAACGAAGCTGCCAAACAGGAGGCAGAGTGGACCATGGCAAACCCTTTTCCTTTTATATAATGCAAAAAGAGAGTTAGTTTCAAAAATGGCCCCTACATCTTCTCTCTGTTGTGGCAGTCTTGTGTTGTACCCTGGCAGAGGAAAGAATGGGGGATGGGCAAAAGAGGAGGACGGGGGTTATTATGTACCCTTTGTAAGTGGTTTGGCTCCGTGCAGGACATAACAATACTAGTTTTTGTTTTTGTGTATGTACAATAAATTACAGTGTAGTTGGATACAAAATTTTGCCTCAGTATAAACATAAAAAATTACTGAGGTTAGAGTTTCTACTTGCCATATTCATGACCCACATGAAGCAAAACCTTTCCAGTTCTTCCACTCTAACCTAAATAAGATGTTCAGACATAGGCCCTGAGTTTAGTGCCCAAGACTTTGTTGACTTCACAGCACTATTGTGAAACTGTGTATTCCACTCTCTAATCGTCAGACAGTGGCCATTTTGTATGTAGAGAGCTTGGGAGAATTTTATTGTTCTCTTCAAAGATCAGATGCAGGACAGAGAAACAACATGAGACCTTACAGGCCTTTATGTCACATATATGTGTGTGTGTGTTAACTCCCAACTCTGGTTGCTGTGCTTTCGTTCTCCTATGACGGAGTTTTCTTGATTTTACACATAGAACAAATTCCATTGATACATTTGATATAGTTACAAAACAACAGGTTTTGTATATGTTCTGTTAGAACTGCTTATAAGAAACTACACAATGACAACTTCATTCATATAACATGTTTCAAACAGGCTTCATATAAGAAAGAAATGCATTTGAACCACACTTAAAAATGCAAGTAAAAAGGTTGATAAGATCAAATGGTGTATGACAACTGCTGCTTGAAGATTAAAGTTTGGAAACAAAATGAACATTTTTCAGAACATATCAAGACTGCACATTGTGTTACATCACTCATCCCATTTTAGCAGTCTCAACTGTGCGTGGGCAACAAAGAGCATTTTGTTTCCTGTGGCTTGACATCAGACATTTACAGAAAATGGTAACGTTAAAATCTGCTTCTTCTTAGATCAGTTCAACTATCCCTGTAAAACCAAAACCAAAAGTTAACTTCCACTATAAGTAACTGCACATCGTAGGTGACTGTTACATAACACTGACAGTTAGAAATGCCAGCGATGTTAGCAACAAATTGTGAAATCCTCTCAAGCTACATGTAATCCAGTTAATTATTATTATTATTACGATTTTATTTCAAGTTTTATTTTTGTCTCAAAGTGACTCAAATTTCATCTGTAGGAACTCGGTGGTGTTGAAATCAGAGCAGGATACATGTCACTTACAAACATAAATGTGAACCATCAACACAGAAAGATCGGATCTGGCAAAAAGACTGGAATTGAGCATTAAGGCCTGTAATGTGAACGTAGCTTTTGTGAGCCCATATATAGGAAGGTAGAGGTTGAAAAGCACAGCAACTGAGTTATGCATCAAAACCACAAATATAATCTCCCTGAAGGCTTTTTTCAAATTCCCTGTGGTTTATACTGCCATAATCAAGAAGGGCAAGCTAAACTAAAGGAAAATAAACCATCTAATGCAGGGGGGAAATCTCTGCATTGCAGCAAAAAGGCTTTTTAAGAGGAAGAGGGGAGCCTGCACACAGAGATCCATGTGGCATAGTACAGCCGACCAATAATGTTCCACCCTGTTGGCCCTCCAGCCAATTGCAGCTGCAGCTGAGGTTAAAGATTGACAATCAGAGGGAGAGCAGCTGGGAGAGCAAGGGCCTTCTGGAAAATTCCACAGCCATCTTTGATTCACCCTTTACAGCCTTATATAAAATCCAGGTCAAAGCTTTCCTTTATACAGGATATTCTGTGTATGCTAGCAGTATACTTTATTTGCTGATTATGAGTTGGGAGAAATGCTAAAACGGGCAGCTTATTGTAGCTGAATTAAGTATTTTATGAATTGTAGGCAAGATATTTGTATTTTCTGCTTTTTAATTCTATAGTTTTGTTGATTTCAGTACAAGCCAAAGCTAAGAGTTTGTTTTTCTTCATTTGTCTGCATGTGGTCATGTGAAAGCTAATTGTGTCCTGTCATTTTACAAAACCCAATAATCCTTCTGTAGCCTGGTATTTAGGATGTATTTACTGTTAATGGTATTAATCCTAGGGGTTTCCAATGCCAGTTCCAGTGTTAAGGGCATGATGTTTGTATTTAATGCCTTTTCTGGATCGTTATACAAAGAAGTCGTTTATTCAGATATTTGTCTGTTTTGTCTTAGCACGATATATTCCTTGAGGTATAGAGAGTAGCTTTGCCAGGATCTGACTGTTAGTCTCTTTCTTCAAAATGAAATCAAATTATTCTATGACAGCATTATTCACAGGGAAGGAGGGAAGACCAGATCGAAGACATTAAAAAAGAGAGAGAGAGAAATGAGTGCTTCTCACTTTGCTGGATTTTCTTGTCTCCCTCTCTGTGTTTCTCCTCTGTCTCTGTCAACGCCCGTGAAGGTTTGTCTTGACATAGTCGTGGCTTTTTTTTTAATGTTGGGTTGTAATCTCCACAGATCTCTCTGGTCCTCATGTATGGATGTGCCAGTGCCTGAGTCTGAGCCTCAGAGTGGGGGATGGGGGAGAGGGGGGAGGGGAGCAAGCTGTGGCCTCCATTTTCTGTGACGAGAGAACCCTGCTCGTCTCTCACAGGAGTGGAATCTAAAGGCACTGACTCAGTGTTGTTTCCGTTTTGTCCATCAGGTACCACTTGCAGAGGGGGAGTACTGTCAGTGTTTTCCTGAACCTGGGTGTCTCTGGATTTATCCCAGAATCTGCTGAGGATTTATTTGCTTAACTCTTCTGGTGTGATGGATCATAGCTCCTGATCTGCCCTTTGGATCAGCATACTTTTTCCTTTACTGCTGGTCATCCTGCCTTCCTGGTAGTTGCAGCAATGTCTTGTCATTGGTATTAGGTGTGTATATAGTATAGTGGTTGTGGCACTTTGTTCAGCAGCTCTGTGCTGCCTGGTGATAGTGAATGTTCTCTCTTTTCAGGGCTGTGGTACATGTAGAAGAGCGACTTGGCTAACGTTTTCTTATTTTCATGTGGGCCTCATTTGTTCTCTCAGTCCGGAACAGGAAGGCCCCGGAGGGGTTGGGGTGTGTGTCTGAGCGTGTGTGAGTGTGAGAGACTGTTGGCAGGATGAAACAAGATACCCATGTGTCATATTCCTAAAGAAACTCTGCTTAAACCATGTTTGTCATTTTTCAGTTATGACGTATTTATTCTCCTAAATTCCAGTTTATTAAGCTGCCTGTGATTGCTGCTTCTAATGTCTGACAGAACAAAGGGAATAACCTTGATGGTTGTGAGCCATAGTGTTGGCTGTATTTAGAACTTTTCTTGGTAGAATGGAGAGCTTTGATCATTGCTAAACCTCTGGGCAAACATGAACCATGGTGTTGCAATGAGTATAGGTTTAATAGCTGATGTGATCGCATCTAATCTGCTGTTGTGTTGGGTTTGTCATATCACTGAACCCTTTAGGATATGCATATGAACCCTCCTATGCTTATCAGTGAACTGACATTTGATCATCTTTGTGTGGAATGTCTCTTTAAGGCTTGAGGAGTGGATATCAAGAGCTTTTTTTTTTTACTCTCGGATGGAAACCAGAGTTGCAGTCAAAGCTATGAACGGGTCAAGTGTGTGACCTGTCAGGGGTCCTTGGGAGGATTTTCCCTTCGGGACTTGTGAATAAAGGCTACATCCTTGGAACGAGGCCCTCTGTTACTCTGACAAAGGAGGAGCCAAACACTCAAAGGTCTTCATTTATTGCCAGACACCCCTTTATTCTTGTGCTTCTTACTCAGAGGAAATGAGATGGGAGCAGGAGCGAAGACCTGGGGAATCCGGCTTTTCCAGTACTAGATGTGTGTTGGAGAGGCTGTATTATTAGCATTTAGATATGTGATATTAATACTGACCTGTTTGTAATCACAGCTGTACAAGAGGCCTTATGCTGTGCAGATGTTGGAGATTACTTAGAGGTGGACAGTTGTGAAACATGAGTTTCATCAGCAGAGCTTCTTGAATATGCATGTGATGGAGATTTTAGACAGATCTCGGTTTGAAGCTTGTTAGAAATAATCTTCTACTTTTGGTCTGCAAGAATGGGCCAAGTTCCTTTGGGTATAACCTTGTTGTTACTGAAGGGGCTTGAGAAGAGGCAGAAACATACTGTTAATTACCATGAGACATTGTCCCTCAATAGTATGGACCAATTCCCTCTTGCTGTCTCGTTACTATAGGACTATTCAGCATTTGTCATAAACAAAGCATGGCACAAAGATCAGCACCTAGCTGAACTACACGCTTGCAGCTGTGACTCCTGAAGGATGGAGGTGTCGCGCAATGTCAGTTAAATGGTCCTGTGTGTTGTTGGGAATATCATTTTGTGCTTAACGGAGAGGAGCGTTGCCATGGTGATTGTTAACCATTGTCTGCCTTGTAGCATAAAGAACATATTCAGACTCGTTTGTCACTGATGCTATGGAAAGGATTTGAACTTCGTACTATAATGTCAGAAATATGCTGAAATCAAATGAAAACAGCAACAATGGAAACCTGCAGTCCCCACTGACACATCCTCTGGGACCTGACTGCCTTAGGTGGTGTTCACTTGTTTACTGTTATGCTGCTGTGGTTTCTGAATACCCTTTCTGACTTTGTGTTTGCCTCTCTATGTTTCTGTGTGCTCTGCAGTCTGGCTGAGGAGGAGATAAAGACCGAGTCTGATGTGGTAGAGGGGATGGATGCATCTTTACGATCCAAAGGTACGGTACGTCTGTCAGGCCGAGTACCTCACTTTGGGAGCCAAATATCTTAGGCGACTTAGTTTCAGAGAATGTAGAGCTTACTTACTGTTAGTTGGGAGAGCAGAGTAATGCATTTTATTGGTCTCATAGGACAACAGAGATAATCCATTTTGCCTTGCTGCTTGTCTGTTTGTCTCAAGTCTCCACACAGAGTCTAGTTAGTTGGGTGGAAGCCCTCTAGCTATTTGTTACTATCAAGTGTTAATGTAATATGTATAAGTTATATCTTCAGTAATTGTTTTTCTTTCAGTTATTTCTGTCAGGCTAAATGTTACTATTATGAAAATAATAGCAAATGACCACTGAATTTGATTATTGAATTGTTCAGCTGAAAACTGAATAGATTCAATTTGTCCTCCCTTGGTTTATCATTAAGATTGAAGAATGTGACATAATTGGAATTGTGTATTATGGTTTCTGATTTTTTCCCCCATACTGTTGATTTATTCTACCTCTAGCTAAATTTGTCAGAGCACTTCAGTCTTTTGATCTTCTGAAGCTTGTGTAACATGCTGGCCTTGAGTGCAGTGAGTAATACATCCTGTCTGGGATTAAGTGATAATTGTCTTTCTGTGTCCAGTCCCTGATCCTCCGGGGTCAGCGGAACGATCAGCGGCACCACAGAAGAGAAAGGTGCCGAGTCCCACCCATTCCTCCAATGGACACTCTCCCTCAGACACCTCCCCCAGCCCTCTCAAGAAAAAGAAGAAGCCTGGGGCTGTCAACTGTAATAACAAAGACCAGGTATGGCTTCCAGTGTTCTCATTTCAGAATCTGGTGTGTTCTCAAAGGTTGTGGAGAACAGTGTTTTGGTCAAATGCCAGTGTACTCACTGTGACTGGAGGTCTGTCCTTCCACAGTATGAGGTGATGTTAGCAGAGGAGAAGGTGCTAAAAACTAAAACAATATGAGTTTGGACTTCTTTTTCTTCCGCCCAGTCAATGATTCATCCCTTTTCTCCTGAAAAGCATACTTAGTGTTGCTCACATGGAAAGTGCCACACACAGTTCTGAAGAATGAAAAAGAGAGCTAGGGTATATCTGAATTCCCTTAAGAAAGTCCACGTTTCCCTCACTTCCATCTTTTCCTTGCGGGAAAATATGAGGCTAGAGGAATGGAGGAAACGTATTAAAGACAGAAGTGTCCTTTCCTCCTATTCTTCATCTGAAGCATCCATTCACTAAGTGATTTTTGATAAAGGGGTGTCACAGCTCCTCCAGGCAACCTCCTTGATCCACAATCCTCGCTCCTTAGAACATGAATAAAAGCTCTGGGATATCCTTCCAGATGATGCACTTCCATGTTAAGCAAAGATAGAGGAGCAAGGAGTGATCAGTTAAAGGAACTGGGATATAATGGTAGAAAGAGAAGTTCAAACCTTCACCTCCACATAGCTGTGTAGTCATGGTGTGAAGTGAGGAAGGAGTTTCAGATCATCAGTTTTGCAAAGTTAGAGAAACTGTCAGACACAGCCCCTCCTAATCCAGTGAAGGAAAGCTGTGGGTCAAGGGGGTTTCTGAGGCTATATGGCTGTCCAACAAGCAGGTCTTACTGAGTATATTGGTGCCTTTAGTCTTCCTCTCTAACCTAAAAGTTGGTATTACCAGTAGACACAAGGGAACAAGACAGAATTAAAAAAAAAAAGCTGGAGGCCTACACACACTGCAGTTATGGTGAAGCACAATGCTGGGCTTTTTGTTTGGGGGTGTGTGAAAAAGTGCCCATTATGCCTGTGAGAACACACCCTGTGTGATTATGACTATAGTACTGTATATTACTAGTTTTAAAATGCACCAGCGTGCATGAGTTTGACCTGCTGTGAGAGTGGACATTTCTTGTTATGAGAGGTTTCTTGTATAGGTTTGGGGCTGTTTCACCAGTGCATGGTCAATTTAAATACATTTATTTTTCAGACAGCTTGGGATGTTCGTGTTTTTGATGACTGCTGAAATGTGACATCAGTCATCATTTATACCCAGCTATTTAGCAATTTTTAAGTGTTCTGCATTTTGGGATTATATATGGCTCTGATGCATATGTTGTTATTATATGCTTGCCACAATAATGTGGTGCTGAGTGACTCCCCTTCATCCTTTAGTCCTATGTTGACCTTGCATGATATAGAAGACAGTTATTGTTTGTGTAAATGATGGTTGTTTGACATAAACATAGACTTATGCCTTCGTGATAGGTGTAGAATGTATGCTTGGTTCTTTGTATAGGGTTGAATAAGCAACAGTTTCATTTTACCACTACTAATGATAAATTAACAAGAAACACTTTGTGTAATTTGGACTCACTCACTCTGAGCTGTGAAACCAGCTACTATTTATCAAATAATGTAGCATTGCTAACGTATCAGTTTGGTACTTCCCAGAGAACCATGTCATGCATTGTGTTTACTCTCATGTGACAGATGATCTGTGCTTAAGCTCACACCCTGAAACCCGTTGGTTTGGTTTAGGTTGGCTCACAGTTGAAAGTGTCACATGACAAGATGTTCAGATAGTTGAGTTGTTTGCCTTTATTCTGCTTACCCTGCTTACCCCTTCTCTTGCATTGCACCTTTTTGTGTTCCTGCGTGTTTTTGAAACCTGCCCCCCTGTTTCTCTTGCCTGCATTTCAGTCAGAGCTAAGACATGGTCCCTTTTACTATATGAAGCAGCCAGCACTCACCACAGACCCTGTTGATGTTGTACCGCAGGACGGCAGGAATGACTTCTACTGCTGGCTGTGCCACCGCGAGGGCCAGGTGCTCTGCTGTGAGCTCTGCCCCAGGGTGTACCACGCCAAGTGCCTCAAACTACCAGCCGAGCCCGAGGGCGACTGGTTCTGTCCAGAGTGTGAGGTATCTCGCTGAAGACGTGTATGTGTGTGGGTGTACACAAATTATTGAAGGACTCGAGGCATAATCCTGCTTGCTTAGTTGAGAAAACTGTTGTCAGACTATGTGCTAAGAGCAACTTCAGCCAAAAAAGAAGAAACAAATGAGTGAAGTCACCTACTTTAGTCTGTGGTTGATCCAAAAATCTGCAGGCTTCTCTATGGCACATGGTGTGACACCACTGCAAGCGTGACTAGTAGCTAACAGTATACGTATACCTGAGAGATGTTAGAGGATTGAAGTTTGGATCTGCTTCTTTACACTTTGGAAAATTATTTTAATTGGCACAATTGTGGGCATGTGACATTTGTACCAGCTAAATCAAAAGACAGCAGATGATGTCAGCTTTACAAAAGTTAATATGTCGGTTTATATCTGTATTCATTCTTTTGGACTGGTGTTCATTTTCATGATAATCATAATAATAATTTTTGTTGCTGTTGCAGAAAATAACAGTTGCTGAATGCATTGAAACCCAGAGCAAGGCAATGACAATGCTGACAATAGACCAACTGTCATACTTGCTCAAATTTGCACTCCAAAAGATTAAACAACCTGGGGTAAGATTTGTAGATGCCTTATAGTATTTGTGTCTAAGAATACATTTTATATTCAAAAACAAAAATTCAGGAAACATATCCAATAAATAAGACATCAGACGTTTGGCTGATGCAGATGTTTCTTTTTTTTTCATATTTGTCTGAACTATGCAGACAGAGCCTTTTCAGAAGCCAGTGTCTCTGGAACAGCACCCAGATTATGCAGAGTATATCTTTCACCCCATGGACCTGTGTACTTTAGAGAAGGTAAAATAATTTATTTGAGTTGTACAAAATTGGTAAAAACAGATAAATAAAAAGGGCAAAATGTCTTGCACAATGTTTACACAAACAGAAATGTTGTAATTGGAATGAAACATAAAGGTACACAATTCAAGTGCAGCTGCTGGAGGTTGAGAGAGTTGTCTTATAGTTACACACACAGAGTCACACACCAATGTATAGAAAACACAAACAGAATATGTACTGTAAATCGGTAATGATTCTTATTGTGTTATTGTGTTTGATTTCGATATTTTCATTTTTTTCATAGAACATCAAAAAGAAAATGTATGGCTGCACCGAAGCCTTTCTTGCGGATATGAAATGGATCTTACACAACTGCATCATTTATAATGGAGGTAGTCAACTTTGACATATCAGCAAACACCCTGTTCTGCCAAAGAAAAGGAAAATATTAAGTAATCTTGTGGTTTTATTTCAGGTAATCACAAACTAACAGCAACTGCGAAAGTCATCGTTAAAATCTGTGAACATGAGGTAAAGAAACTTTACTAAATAACACCACCATTTGTGTAAATGTTTTGTATGCATATATAATCACATCTTTGCCATTGACTATATATATTTAGATGAATGAGATTGAGGTTTGTCCGGAGTGCTATCTGTCTTCATGCCAAAAAAGGGACAACTGGTTTTGTGAGCCATGTGTAAGTCTTTACATAATCTTAAACACCATTTTAAACAGTGGTTATACATCTTGGCTTACATTGCAGATCTGTGAAACAGTGAGTTTTGTTTTGTCCCCAACAGAGTCAACCCCACCCCCTGGTCTGGGCTAAGCTCAAGGGTTTTCCTTTCTGGCCAGCAAAAGCACTTCGGGAAAAGGATGGACAGGTAGACGCACGCTTCTTTGGGCAACACGATAGGTGAGATTAACTTCTTAGCGCAGCAGAAGAAATGGCCTCCTTGAATTAGGGTTGTTTGACCAAAAAGAAGCCTAGATCAGTTGACTCGTTTAGTACTAATTTGGTACATGATTTTATTTTTTTTTCTGTGCTTTCATGAAGGGCCTGGGTCCCCATCAACAACTGTTACCTCATGTCCAAAGAGATCCCGTTCTCTGTGAAAAAAACAAAGAGCATTTTCAACAGTGCCATGCAAGAGATGGAGGTCTATGTGGAAAACATTCGCAAGAAATTTGGGGTCTTCAACTATGCACCTTTCCGCACGCCCTACACACCTAACAATCAGCTACAGATGCTACTGGACCCCTCCAACCCCAGTGCTGGGACAGTGAAAACAGAGAAACCAGATAAACTTCGTTTCAGCTTTGATATAACAGCATCTCCTAAGATGGTCCTGAGCAAGAGTTCCACATCCAGTGGTATGGGTCGGAGGGTTTCGATGTCAGACATGCCTCGGTCTCCCATGAGCACCAACTCCTCTGTTCACACAGGATCTGATGGGGAGCAGGATGTAGACAAGGCCGGCAGGAATCCTGCCTTCCACTACAGCACTGGAGAGGAATCAATGGATTGTACAGGTAATTACATGTCAAAGTGGTCACAGTTGATATTTTTATAATAATGTGTCAAATGACAATGTGAAAGTGGCCACTTGTAGTGATGAACCTTCAAAGAAGTATTCTCTCAATCTATAGCTGCCTCTGCTTTACAGGAGCTTTGCAGCAGGTTCCAGCTCATTGTTGAGCTGTTCTGTCTGTAAATTTACAGTTTGGCCCACTCTCACTGCCTACATAGTGGTTGTTTTTTTTTTTTTTTACAGCAGGCAGCTCTAAAATCCACTGTACACTGCCTGCTCAGCATTAAACTGCACTATTAGAGTAACCTAGTGGAGCACTTAAGAGTTAAAGGATGAAATATTCTCTTCCAGTGTTGTCAGAGACCAAAAACGGAGCTTTAAAAAAAAAAGAGTGAATGTTGAACTTAAATTCACAAGGTGGCTAGAAACACAACTTCAGATGAATGATAATGTCCTATAGCTACACGATGTGTAAATACGCAACTATTTACTAACAAGTTCACCATATGAACTTAAAGGGTGTTAAAAGACCAGTGATGTGTTCACAACTTGTGTACCTCTGCCCCCAAGCAACCAAAAAATCAGTTATCACAGATTTAGTCTATATTACTCTGGTGGAGTGGCCCTGTGTAGAGCGATCAATTTTGGCTAAATATGGAAATGAAAAATAACTAAGCTTGAAACTTTTGTTTTGTTGCAATTACAGCATCTCCTGTTTCAGGGAAGATGGGTCCTGCAGGCAGTGTATCCGGCAGCCCAAAGCCCTTTAACTCTGGACTGGTGCCCAAGCAGGAAAGGACTGCAGGCACAGGGGGCATCCTCAATCTCAACCTGGGTCAGTACCAACACAAAGGCTAATCAACAACAAATTCTCTGAAGAGAATTTGTACAAATGTAATACTGACCTATTCTTTTCAGATCGAGTGAAGGCTGAGATGGATCTGAAGGAGCTGAGTGAGACTGTGCAACAGCAACAGCAGCATCAACAACAACAACAACAAGGAACATCAGCTGCTGCCCCTACCCCAAAGAGACACATCAGGAGCCTGGACAAGACTATAGAAAGCTGCAAGGCACAGCTCGGTACATTCTACATGACCACCTTGTGCCATTTTTTGGCACATAACTCTATTCTTGCACAGTTCAGCTCACACAATCTTGCCTCTTGATTATGATCTCAAACTTAATTACATAAACAATAATTTTTTGAATATTTCAGTTTTTTTTGCAAGTCCAAAATGGTCATTTGCAAGATGAATTTAGATTATCTTGTTTTATACAATAAATTACAAATACCGAGACAGTTCACCTGGTTTTAGATGAGAGATTTTAGATAAGACTAGATTATCTAGTTGTTAAATTATGAAGCACTTAACCCAAATTTTTTTTATTCAGCTCTGACAAAAATCGCTCTTTTAAATAATATCAATGTTCTTCCACACAGGGATAGATGAGATTTCTGAAGATGTATATAAAGGTGTGGATCACAGTGACTCTGAGGACTCTGAGAAATCGGACTCAAGTGACAGCGAGTATCTCAGTGATGAGGAACACAAGCCAAAGAGCTCCTCCCAGGATGACAAGGACAAAGCAGAGAGAAAAAAGCCCAGATCAAGCACAGAGGGAGAGAATAAGGAGGGCGTTAAAGGGACAGGGACTAAAGCCACCCCTGAACCCCTGCTCAAAGAGAAGCAGGGTAGCAGTGGCCCAGATAAGGACCTTCAGGACAAGCCCAGAACACCCCAGTGTCAACCACTCACTGACAGGCCCAAAGCCCCAGAGGAGGGCAAAGCAGCTCTGGTCTCATCAGTGGCTGAGCAAGACTCTGATTCTGAAAGAGAGCTGGTGATTGACCTGGGGGATGAACATGGAGGCCGTGACTCAAAACGGGCACGAAGAGATCCAGGCGCCTCCTCTGCCAAAACTGTCAAAGAATCTAATGTTGCCAAATTGGAAGGTAAGGACACGTGCGTGTGTGTGTGTGTATCAGATATTTGGACACACTTTTCCATTCAATTCAATGGAAAAGTGTGTCCAGACTTGTCCTGTGAATCTCATTATGACTTGTACCTCAGCTAGAAGGACATTTTGTAAGAAACAGTAGAAACAGTAATCCTTATAGTAAAATATTTTCTCAGTGTCTCTAACAATGCACAGACAGTGAACCACAATGACCTTCCACACAAGTCCATCAGTCTTAAAGCACACTGCACATCTCTTCTCCACACTGTGGTTTACACACCAAGCATTTTCAACTATCTTGCATTTGTTAAGATGGTGTCTGAGACGGTTTTTTTATTTACTGTCCACTGATGAGTCATGTGACTAATCAACCACAAATAGCTACTATGCAAAATATTGTCATCATCCTTTCCTAAAATTATGATTTATTAAATAAAAACTTGTAAAAAAAATTACAAGACAAATATAAACTGATAAAACATACAGTTTAATGTTACAGCCTTTTTTTTCAGGAAATTCTTTAGCAGATACAATCTGTCATCTTAACCAGTTAAGGGTTAAAAAGGTTGAATATCCATTTTCACTATAAGGCAACAAATTCAGGACTCTTTCAATCTTGTTTTTCAGCCTCATTTCTCAAAGCACAGTACACATATATTTTTGATCTTGTAACATTTATGTATAACCTTAAGTAATTTCAAAGTCTGCAGATGACTTTAATACATTGATTCTTTAACTGAATTTATAATCCAGTGGACATTGCAAAAGTAGCTTCAAATCAAGGTCCTTCTTTAACCATTTTGGGCTTAAAATGATTTATAAATCCAGAATGCCTCCCTATTAAGGAGCAGTATTTTATTTTCCTACCCAGGTAAACCTTCTTCTACATCAGCAGCAGCACCGTCACGGGAGGCTGTCTCCAACCTGAAAGACTCCTCGCAACCTGCCATCACAGCAGCCCTCAACCTTGTTTCAGCTGCAGCTCTTCAGCCCAGCATCATCACAACAACAACAACAACAACATCCAGTGGACCTACCAGTACTCCTTCTCCTGCCTCCACCTCAGTCTCCCCTTTATCCCCAGCACCTGCAGCTGTAAAGAAACAGCGCCCTCTGCTGCCCAAAGAGACAGCTCAGGCCGTACAGCGAGCAGTGGTTTGGAATCCCACCAAGTTTCAGGCGTCCTCTCAAAAGTGGCACAGGCAGCAGCAGCAGCAGCAGCAGCATGGAGAGCAGTCAGCAGTGCAGATGCAGGCCCAGGCTCAGGGGCAGACACGCAGTCCACAGCAGCTGCAGTTACAACAGCAGAACAATTCCTCGAGTACCCGCTATCAGACCAGACAAGCTGTCAAGGGTAGATGTATATCAGCATAATCATTCATCCGATTAAACATAACATTGATAAAATGTGTATTAATGGATATATAATTTCTACTTTGCAGTACAACAAAAAGATCTGCCTCAGAATACATCGTCGTCTACAGCTGCTGTTAGCTCATCTTTCATGTCAGGTGACTTACAGATCCCCACAGTCTCAGCTGATGTGGCTGCAGATATAGCCAAGTACACAAACAAAGTAAGTTAGAATCCTGTGCTTTGTGACTAAATGTGCAAAATGAGAAAAGGACTGCCTCTCTAAGCTTTGTCATTTTGCATTGATGCTACCTAAAGTAAGGAAAAGTCATACAAAATAGTCCAGTTATAATATATTTACCACACTCTTCACTTAATTTAAGGGATGAAGTAATTAAAACTTTTGACTAATAAAACATATTACCCACAGATTATGGATACAATAAAAGGGACAATGACGGAAATCTACAATGACCTTTCCAAAAGCACATCAGGAAACACAATTGCAGAGGTAACTATCAGCAAACAATATATCGCAGTATTAGATTGTGAGATATAAAGCATTATAAATGCTGTGTTTATTTGCCACAGATTCGACGCTTAAGGATAGAGATCGAGAAACTCCAGTGGCTGCATCAACAAGAGCTATCAGAGATGAAGCACAATCTTGGTAAGTTTCCTGCTTGCAGCAACATGTCACTACACCTCTAAGAGTTTACATGCCACGGAACCAGTTATGTTATAATTACAGATGTTGTAATTCTTTTTTTTTTTTTTTTTTACATGTATAGAACTGACAATGGCAGAAATGAGACAGAGTCTAGAGCAGGAAAGAGAACGGTTGGTGGCTGAGGTGAAAAAGCAGATGGAGCTGGAAAAGCAGCAGGCGGTGGACGAGACCAAAAAGAAACAGTGGTGTGCCAACTGCAGGAAAGAGGCCATCTTCTACTGCTGCTGGAATACTAGCTACTGTGATTACCCCTGCCAGCAGGCCCACTGGCCGGAGCACATGAAGTCCTGCACGCAGTCAGGTAATGTAAACACACTCATGATGTGCAAATGGATTAAAAAAGTTAATTGGCAAATGTAAATACCAGAGCTGTGGTATGGCAGAATTTAAAATTATTTTGACTTTTTTTAAATGAAATACTTTAGTGAGATATACAGATGGGTATGCACACAAAAGCATAATGCTTAAAGACAAGTTTAAAACGAGAGCCGTCCTCAGTATGTATTTACTCAGTTTGAATGCTTGTTCACTTAAGTGTCTTGTCAGTTAAAGAAAGGTTTGAGCGAATTAACAAATCACAGATTTTTGTTTTTATTGCATTTTGGAAAATGTCCCAAGTTTTTTGGAAATGGGGTTTGTACATGCTCATTATGTATTCTGACTCAAAACTAAATATTATGCATTTTTTGTACAATTCCAGTGCTTTGAGACAATCAAAAATGTTTTTATTGCATTTAATTGTATTTTTAAACATTCCAGCTTGAAAATTGAATGTAGCTCCTTCTCTGCCATCTTGCATTCAGTGTCAGATGTAAGATGAACATGTTACCATCCTCAATACAGTCTGTCTTTCTGCCTGTAAACTCATCCCCAAACTCCTCTTAAGGCAAGCATCCATTCCTTTAAAGGCCATTATCATGTATCAAACCAAGTGGTTGTGTGTTTGCAGTAATAAACAGCAGTTAACTATCTCATCATAGTGTTTTATAGACACAGCCTTGCCCCTTACTCAATAAGAGGCAGATTCTGCAGAAACACAAGCAACTATGTAGTGTCTGTGTTCTCACTTAATTTTTTGCTTTTTCTTCCAGCTTCAGCTTCGCAGCAGGAGCCAGAGGCAGAGCCCAACTCGGATCCTTCTGTCAAATCATCAGGACACTCTCCTGCCACACAGAACCTGGCCTCGGGAGCAGGATCCATATCAGACAAAAGCAACTCTCCCACATATTTGGACAAGAGCAAGGACAGTGCCGCCGTTACTGTGACTTAACTGCTACATTACGGAAACTCTGGCAGAATTTGCAAGGCCGTCGTGGGGCTTGGGCCGTCAAATGTGCTGTCAAAATTGGTTCTTGAAAGCCTGCACCTCTGTGACAAATCACTTTGATTTTTTTCATTGTCATGTACATCTGCTTGGCACACAGTTTTAGTTTATCCTTCATTCCGACGCTCCACAAATCTGTGTTCAGGTGGATTTACCATGTGAAAGTAGTCTGTCTTGAGAAATAAAATGCTTGTTTGTTCATACTGTAGTTTTATGTTATAGCTTTGTTATCACTTTATTTCAAGCCAGAGCAAATTGTCACCCCACAGAATATTTGCTACATCAATACTTTCACTGCTGCTCTTAAGTACTTCATGGCATTTTTTTTTTTATTTTGCCGCTTGCTCTCCATAGAACAAGAAAAAACAAACCGCCATCAGTGACTGACACTCATTTATCATGGCGCTATCAGAGGTATCTATAGTTATGCAAGTTTTATTTTTATTTTTTAAACAATGTCCTCTACATGTCAACTGAAGTATTTTGAGTAATGCAGGTTTAAACATTGTTTTCAACCATGTCCTCTTCATGTCAGCAGTGGCATTTCTGACTCCTGCAAGTTTTGTATTGTAGTTCCACGTTGTATAGACCTACATAAAAAGATCTGTGATTCAAACTAACAAAAAATTTAACTGTACAAAGTTTTTGTAAGAAAATACCTGAACAATATTTATAGTGTTATAGGTTTTTATAGTATGTTTAATGATATCACATTTCTATGTGTCTAAAAAAGTTATTTGAAAATAAATTACTTCAAATGAATGTCAGCACTGAGCGAAGTCTCTCTTTAACTGGTTACCCAAAGCTGATGTAAATCCTGCTCAGACTGTGTCTAAAACTGGGTTGGCATAAATACAACCCGTGTTTTGGCTGGACATTATTTCCTGTGAGCATGTCTGTTTTGACCTTGTGTCTTGTTATTGTTTACATATTGTACATACAATAAATGGACTTGTGAAGGAAAAATAAAATCAGTCTGATCAACTTGTTTATTGGTTTCATTTGTTTTTAAAATGTGAAGAATTAAAATTTACATCATGAACAAAAATAATTGACTCAGATTAACATTGCACCCATTGCCCCTTAATTCATTTCAAGTGTCAGACCTTTTTGTATGAAAATAACCACAAATGAAATGATCACTAATCAACTTTGGATGTAGCTCAACAAACAGGAAACCACTAAACCCCCAGTCAAAGTTTTTGTTTTTCTTTACATCTTAAGGTGTCCTGATAATTTTGTTCAACAAGAAAACATTGAAAGCAGTTATGGAGCTGGCCATGTAGATGTGATGTAGATGTGAAATTTACCAAGAATGATCAGCAACTAAGTTACATAGGAAATATTCACTTCCATCCCACAAATGACAAGCAATATCAATTGGCACATTAGTTCCTATTTCTCTATTGGTAAAAGGCTGCATGCCTATCCAAAATAAATATGAGTGAACCAACAAAAAAGTGATTCTCTAAGTTCCAGAAGTTACAGTTTTAATTTATATTTAGCCTAAGCCTTTCAAACATATGGTAAAGTTGTAGTAAAACCCTGAAGAAGTGTTTTTTTAATTTTATTACTGCAGTATTTTTACTGGGTATCATGTCCTTTTCAACAGTATGTCACCCAGAACAGAAAACCAAAAGATTTTTGCTGCAGAAAATGTAACATAGTTCAAATATTTCTGATGTGTCTGATACTGCACAGTTCATTCCCAATAAAACTGTGCATTAATCAGCAACATTGTGATAACTGAATAGTTGTTTTAGCAATTTTGGAAGCAAAAATGTCAGATATTTGAGTGTATGTACAGTATATGTATGAGCATTTGGTGCTTTTCTTTGGGTTTTGAAGTGTTTATAAAATAAGACATTTGAAGATGTCACCTTGATCTATAGGAAAGTATATTGAGCATTTTTCACAATTTCTTGCCGTTTTCTGACAAAACAATTGATTATATATAACAACTGCAAATTAATCAACAGCTATTAGTTGGAGATGTACTAATAATGCTCTCTGTGAGAGTACATTTCCTTAAAAATTAAAAGAACCAGTGGGAACTATATAATAAATATCCTAATAGCATATTGTTTTGTAACTGATGCACCAAACCTTTGAAGGTATGCTGAATATGAAGCAGAACACCATTTTTGTTTACCATTGGTCTACAAACAGTAATTCATTGTCAGATTGTATGTAATGACTAGATGGCAAGACAGTGCCTATAAACAGTGGCAAATTTGATTGGGATTTTATCCAGAGAAATGTTACAAACAAAGAAACAAACAAAAAACACAACAAATAAACAGCATTCTCAGCCATCAATGTAATAATATAATACATCCCTGTATCCAGTGTGCGTTCTGTTTGAGTACTTCTCGCGAGATTATGTATCGGTAAAGCAAATAAAATGGAGGGCTGTGCTAAGAGGCTATCTGGGCGAATCTAGATGTGGCTTGGAAATTGTTATTTATATCGAAGGTATGATTTCTTTTTTTCTCACGGTAGTGGTGTACGAGCGTGCAGCATTTAATCATTATATTGGTATCTTTGGAGGCAGTTAGCTTTGCAGTGTATTGCTTTCATTTTCAGGTAGTTAGTTTAGAGGCTAGCTATTAGCAAAACTAGCTTCAGATAACAATGTCGGTCGTCGCTGGTCACAAGGTCCAGTCCCTCAGAATAACTCATGAAGAACGTTTGCACCTTTGAAGAACAAGCACGCTTTGTTTTGCATGTTTGCAGCTGGCTGAAGCATGGTAGTGAAATTAGTAAGGCCTCTTGTTTCGCTTCTGTTTCGCTCAGTTAAATTTAGAATACAGGTACAATGTGGACTTTGACCTAACCTACGTACTTTCTGTTGACCATCCTTTGCAATAGTTGTTGACATTCATGTATATGCAAGTATTGGTAAACAAGCGACATAAACGACGTTATGATCAGTGAATTTGTTCACAGTTTAGTAACATTTATAGGCCAAACAGAAAATGATAGTACTAAATAAGGGTTATTTGGTAAATCTGTAATGAAACTAGTCCTTATTTGCAGCCCCATGTGGGCCGTGACACAACAACAGAGTAACGTAGGATTCTGTCTACACTAGTGAGGGAAGAAGTAACATTATTATTATTATTATTATTTTTTAGCCTAAGTAAAACTGTAACATGTATACTGTTGTATATGGTGCGATCAGATCGTTAATACTAATGTATGAATGCTAAAGTAGTACTGTAACGTTGTAGCTGGCCGAGTTTGGGCAGTTGTTGTAAAGTAGTCTAGTATTTTCTTGACCTGGGGGTCAGGCTCCCTTCAAAGGATACCAAGATAAATCTGGGGGGTCGTAAGATACCAGGAGAGAAGATAAAATAAAGTTTTGCCATACAAATTTACCATATCAGGGTTTTGCATGGGGCCCCAGAAAGCAATAGTTTTATTACAGCTCACGTTTTGATTAGCTAATCGCTGTTTTCTCAGAGGCTTGCACCACTGAAAATAGTAAATTAGTACTGACTGTACATACTGTAGATACTGAGCACTCTGCACTGCTGTTATTGCACTTCTGGTTATATGCCTTGTACTTGTACATGTGTAATGACAATTAAGTTGAATCTAATCTAAATGCAGTATCAGGTAAGAAGGGTCCTCTATCCACCAGTGGCCCCAGTCTTGCAGAGGAACCATGTGTCAAAATGTAGACTTTTTAGTTTATAGTTGTTGATCATGTGTTGTAAGTTGTGGTTTTTTTTTCAAAAGCCATATTTTTTCCCCTTAAGCAAGCACTTAACACAAAAAAACCCTTAGGAAGGGTAAAATTTCTTCATAAGAGGACTGTTGTAAGGCTGTAATCAGGAATGATTTTCATTATCAGTAATTGATTGTTCTGTGTATAAAATGTTGGAAAGGAGTGAAAATGCCCATCACTTATTCTAATCAAAAAGTTTCTGAAAAAACCTGATGCTGAAAAACATCTGAATCTTCATCAAGACCCTGATGAAGGCCTTAATGGCTGAAATGTGTAGGCCTGTTTTTTAACCATAACATATTAAAGGCTTTTTATATTTATGATTCTCTTGTATGCCTGAGATTGTTTTCCATAAACTTTTTTGACCTGAGCAGCACTCTGTGCTAAGTTTTTCTGATTGCCAGTCATTATCCCCTGAAGTCCAGTTTTAATGTCTTGTTTTGTCTGATTATCAGTGTTGAGTTTGCCATCACAGAAATATGAAGAACAAGAAAATATTGACATTTGAGACTTTTGTACAAGTGAATCTTTAACATTTTTGCTTAAAAATGTCTCAAACAATTAATCACATATAAAAATTGCTGCCAGTTAATGCTCTCTCTATTGACTAATTGATTTTTCAACTAATCATTTCACGTCTAGTGTAGTGGTTGTGTGTGTGCGTGTGTGTGTGTGTGTACCAGGGAAAGATTAAAGCTGCTATTATACTGTGGAGATCAGCAGGGGTCCCTTACAGGGTAATCTTATCATGGCCAAAGCCTATAAGTGTGAATCTACATTCAGTTACCAGTTGTCATTATGTATGCCAAATTGTCAACCAAGGCTCAGTAAGATGTCCCAAAAACAGTGTCAACAAAAATGTAACATTAGAAGCTTTATCAGTCTATGATGTATTAGAAAATTAGTTTTATGTCAGTAGTACTAGCAGTTCAGTAGCTTACATTTGTTAGAGGTATGAGTTTTTCAAAATGACTGCCATCTTCTGCAGCTGCCAGTATTTGTAATTTAGCTAACTGTGACATATGTGCTTGTGGCTTAACGTTGACTCATAATTTGATATTGATGCTTTTGTATATTTTCCCCTCCCTAATTTACCCAGGTACACAGATTGACAAGTGGAATGACACTTTTCACGACTTGAAAATTTGACTTTGGTAGCAATCGGCTCATTGTTTGTAGAGGTACCTGTTTTTTTTTGCATTTAGCCCACATCCAACTTAATCAATAGTTAAGTTTTTTTAAGCTTGTAAACTAAATGATGTCTGTGTTTTGATAGTATTGTTATCTATGGACATCAGTATGAACCCAGTGGATGACAGTGTTACAGAAGATAATTCAGGTAAAGCAGATTGTTTGCTCTGAGTTGTTTCATTAGACTGACTTTTTGTTTTCTTTTTGTTAATCCTTTTTGCTTCTGTTTTTCTATAGAGGAACAGCAGAGCCAGACAGATGGGGCAGAGTTGACTGTTAGGCCGACTCTGTCACAGGTCAAAAAGTCGTGGGGCTTCAGGCGTTCAACCATTGCTAGAAGGGAGTTCATGGAAGAAGTTGGAGACCTAACACACAGCCCTCCACTTGTACGGAGAGTCAGAAGTCGTCGAACTAACCAGATGCCCCAGACCACAGAAGCCCCCACTACCCAGAGAGCCACTCGTGCTGCTAGGAGTGTTATAGATGACCTCGAGTGGTCTGCCCCATCCTCACCTGTATCAGAGGGGAGCAAGCCAGCCTCAGAAGCATCTGCAGGAGGGAGTCTTGACCCCAGTTTATGGCAAGATTTTGGGTCTGCCTTCCACACTGCCTTTTCACTGCTCGGTGGGAGTGAGGGCATGTCAGTGGACATGCCAGGTGCCCTGGCGACCCCTGACATTTTGGAAGCTACTCATGCCATCGAGGCCCTTTGTCCACAGGTTATAGATGATACTGAGGTGCCTGATAACTTGGAAGCTGCTGATGACATGGACATTTTGCCGGTGGTTGCTTCTGAAACTGTGGCGGGAGGAGAAATAGATGATGTAGTGTTGATCTCTAGTCAAGAAGAGGACAGCGATGAAATGACTTTGATACAGATTAAGGAGCAGCTGGTGGCTAAAGGCAAGCAGGGAGACACGACAACTAGAGGGGGGAAAGGTGGAAGAGGAAAGGCCAGAGGAAGGGGGAGAGGCAGAGGAAGAGGTAGGCGAAAAGGCAGAGGAAGGGGCAGGGCTGTGGAGATTCAGTCGAGTATTGCAGATGATGAGGACAGTGATGAGGAGGTGATGCTTGTTAATTCAGAAAAACAGCTGCAGGGAAAAGAGGATGATCCACACACCCCAGCTGCAAGAGAGATATCATCTCCTCACTCCAATGTCACCCTGAGTCCTGCTCAGCAATCAAGCTCAGACTGTGTAATCATAGATTCTGATTTAGACCAGATTCCTGACATAACTCCTGGCCAGTGTGATGATGCACCAGAGAAAGAGGAGAAGAAAGACGATAAGAATGCAGGAGGATATTCAAGCATTTCAGACACTGAGGGTTATGATTCTGATGCTCTGTACTGCATCTGCAGACAGAAACACAGTAAAAGGTACACGCTCATGTCTGATAACAAGATCTCTTGAGCTAAGCTGCTTTTTTGAAGGTTTGCATACCTGAGCCATCTGTCAGTTTCAATTTCCTCACCACTGCTGTTTATTCACTGGCTCGTCTAGGTTCATGATCTGTTGTGACAGTTGCCAGGAGTGGTTCCATGGTGACTGCGTTGGTATCAGTGAGACACTGGGCCATAAGATGGAGAAGAAAGGGCAAGAGTACATATGCCCCCCCTGCACTACCAAGAAGCAACTTCAGTCTGAGCCCCAGCCTCAACCAGAGCCTGCGCTTAGCTTTCCTGAAAGCTTGATACTAAGTCCTCCTGGTGAAGAAGGGGTGGAGCATGAGGACCAGCAAGCCCTCAAGGTTAGAATTTCATTTGGATTGCTAGTGTTCTCTAGATGGCTCACTGCTCTTAGTCACAACAAAATAAAAATGGTGTTTAAGCCCTTTGCCTCAGCAGCTAGTTTTTAGGTTCAGTATTCTACTCATTCATGTATGAGAGTAAATATATATGTGTATCATAACAATGTTATATTTGTTTTCTTAGTCACTCACCGATTTTCACAAAGGAAGTTTGTTCTTTGAATTTAAGATGAGACTCTGCTTTCAGGAGACTGTGGAGGTGCAGGCGACTCCTGTGGTGAGGCCTGAACCTGAAGCTGAGATGGAGAGAGACAGCTCTCTTTTCCTGTGCCTTGACCAGGTTGCTCCAAACAAGCTCTACCGGACTCTGTTTACTGTGGCACTGACTGCATCCTTCAGCATGCTGCTGTCACTATGAAGACTCTCTCTGACCCCAAGGTGTCCAAGTCCAGAGGACGGGGGCAGAGGAAATCTGCCACTGCCAGACCTCTCACAAGGGTAAGAATAAAAACGTAGACACTGGGACCTATAGATAGAGATTTGAGATGTGTATATAAGTAGTATATTTTCTTGTTGGGTTTATTCCATATTTTGTGTTCAATTTAATGTGAAATCACAGTGTAAAATTCAGTGTTAAAGTATCTTTTTACTGACCTGCACAAATGTTCCTTCACAGGGTCAGAGGTCGAGTAGGGTGTCTAAGAGGTTAGCAGCAAAAGCTGAGGAAGAAAGTGAAGAGAAGGAGGAGGATGATGGAGAGCCTAAGGAGGCTGCATCTCCCTTATCCTGCGACCCCAGTCTCACAGAAGTTGAGGCCCCTTCCATACCATCACCTAAGTTTTACACAGCGTGTATGTACTATTCACTACTCATACACATTCAGTTCATACAGAGGTCCAAACACCACTCACAAAGTGCTCCTACTGGCATTACAGATTTTCCTCCCTCTTTTGATTCATTGCAGCACAGTCATACACAAGCACTCACACACTCTTACATGCACACTCTCTTTCTGGGGTGACTGATAAGTAGGGGGTCAGCAGTGGGTAAGTATGTTTACTTTTTTAGTTCTTGTGTTTAATATAAATGTCCAAAATATGTTGCTGAAAAAGTCCTAGTTCTGGTGCACCAGAACTAGAAGACGACACTGAAATACACTAAGAAAAGCCATGAGGGAGTTACATCATAGTCTACTTTTTTAAGAGGAAAGACTTACCGGTAAAACACACTGAAACAAACGTGTTACTGAAGCGTGATTCCCTAATCCACACTGAACGTTAGACTTGAGCGGCACATTCTGTTTAAAGTCGTCAGAACTCCTGTCTGTCAGCAGGGCGGTGGCGGGACAAAGAGTCTTTACCAGGCCGACTAACAAGACAAGTGTACTGAACAAATATAGTTTTCATGTAAGGTCATCAGCATATTTCTATTGCCTTTGGATTTAGATTTTATTGATGTTGCCTGGTCTGTTATAGAGGGAGAAAGTGAAACTGAAGCAGCCTGATCAGTTGTGACAGATACCAGTAACAGGAACAGAAAACAACAAGATTTGCATGATTTAAACAGCTGACTGTGGAGACTGCGCTTTGCTAAATGCAGTAGATGGGGGGGAGCAGAGCAGACATGAAGCATAAAAACAAGAGAGTTCTACAGGAGACGTGTCTCACAGATTCATTGTGGATCGACACATATAAATGAATTCTATCTGCAGTGTGAGATGAGTGTCAGACCTGCCTAGAAAACACTTCCAAAACACTTCCACTTGGTTTTATATTTCCAGTTCCAGTTTGTTTGCACATCCCCGTTAAAGTTTAGCGTATGGACATGCCCGTTTTTGTGAGATGTACCGAGGACTATCTCGGTCCTAAATGGGACAAGTATTGCCTTCGTTCAGCAGTATTTGCAAGTTTTTTTGTTTTGTTTTTAAGTTTCCTTTCTGCCCGTGCCATTTGTTGAAAAGGGAAACATGAAATGATGCCACACAACAGGTCTAAAAGGTAATGAAGGAGCATCTGCTGTCAGTTTTAAATTCTGTGACCAGAACTCAGTTATACTAGTAAAATAACCATATGTTATATCCTGGTGGACACCACCACCATCTCACAACAGTATCGAGAAATTTTGCTGTCTTGATAGTGTGGAATTACGAACGTCATTACATGCCTACGTTATACACCTTACTATGTGCAAACTTTGTGACGACTACACACAGAATGCTTGAAAGAGGCCTAGTCCCAAAAGCTTGTATTTATTAAAATAGAATTCTTATATCCTGGTAAAACAATATATTTTTCCATATATAGAAAATGAAAATTTAGTGAGTCTCACTGGCTCTGTAACATTAAATAACTTTGCAAGGGCTAGTCATGCAAGGTCTTAAAGCTTAAAGAGCCCAGTAGTCTGTCATTAATATTTTGAAACGATAGAATTAACTTGCCTAAACTGCACAAATAAGTGTTTTCCAGGTGTTGCTCTTTTGTCAGTCAAGATTTTTAAACACAATGTAGACCTGCTGTAGTTGCTCTACAGCAGAAGTTTAATAGCACCAGCACTCAAGATGTCTTGCTCATAGGCATCAAACTGAGACAAACACACTAAACCCTTCACAACTTCTCAGTACTATCAAATATATGGGTCTTGTGAAGCCTGCTGAAAGGCACCATAGTGCCCATACCTTATGGTTTCGTTCATTCTTTTCAAAGAAGGACCCCAGTGTTCAAGCACCATGTCACAAGGATGTAGAAGCCTCATCAACGCTGGGTTCATTTTGACATGATTATGTTTACAAACAGTACTGTGATGTCTCCAACAGGCAGCAGCTTGTTGATTTACAGGCAGTTGCATAAAACATTCAGTAGGTAAATTCAACTAATTGCTGCACTTTCTCCATAAAATGCACTTTGCAAAACATACATTCAACATTTCACAACTTTCTTGCCCCTGGGTCAGGCTCACATAACCTTGCGCATTATATCGAGCAAAACTTGATATTTAAAAATATTTTTTTTACATCACATTTGTTCATCCTACACAGTTCCTTATCTATCACCACACAACACGCAAACATGCACTTCTGGAGCAGTCGTTACACACGCACAAATGTTAGGTTGGGTAGGGACTGGGCATCTGGTATGGAGGAGGAGGAGGAGGGAGTTCTTGCTTTTGCAAGAGATGCAGAGGGGGCTGGAGGATTCATCAGTGCAGATGCTAGAAAAAGGTTTTACCTGGACTCCACCAAACAGTGAGTAGAGTTCTTTTCACGTTGAACTGAAGATGATACCAAAGTGCCAGTGGGCCAATGGTAGTAAAATGTTCCATTATTCTGATACTCTGAGAAATGTCCATATTCTGCTGCAGATGATGAAAGCCTTCATCACTTTCAGTTCAGCACACATGCATCCAAACTCTAGAGATGGAAGGATGTGTGGGACTTCGGTGAAGTATTGTAATCCTTTTAATATGTGTGGTGATAAGTCTACTTGGGTCATGTTTATATTGGTATCTAGATAGGTCAAATGGAATCAATACTCCCATGCTCATGAGTTTTTAAACCCAATCTCCTTCACTATTTCTACTATATACATCCAGATGTCTTCATGTATTCATACAGACAGCAGTACACCACATCTCTCATTATAAAACATTGTGTGTGTGTGTGTATATATAGACACACTTCTAAGCATCAGAATTTGAGCAAATTTGTCTTACTGCCACTGATACACTTTGCAAACAAAAGTATATAATATAAAAGTAAATTCATCAGACAGTTCCTTTTTTTGTTCTGATTTGATTTGTAGCAGATAAATGTAAGCAGAATGCAGTGATATTTGTATAGCCAACTGTAGGATATGGTCCGTCTTACCATGCTAACTCTGAGAGACGAGGCAGTCCAAGTAACTTCAAAACAGTGCTGATTTATTCAAAGGATCACAGGTAAAATTAACATTACATGCTCAGGTATCTTGCACCTCCAAACTGCTCACAGGCAGATGTAAGATGAAAGACCCTGAACCCACCAGGCCTATACATTATATCCCCTCGGTTGGGCTAGCCCCATACTACACAGAAACGTCAACCGAGACGTCTCTGTTACCAGCTTTGCAGCTGGTCATAGCAGTAGTCAAAACATGAAGCAAATCAATGTGTGTGTGTCTGTTGGTTAAGTGGTGTGTAGCTAAAAACATTCTCACGGCCTCTAGTAACATGTCGTGACTCAAACATAAGAACATATTATGGCTAAGGCTACAGTTATACACGTCATAATAATAATATTAAACACCCTGTCTGCTGACAGTCATCAACTCTTCTCTCTAGTTATCCTTGACCAGATGTACCCTGTAGAAACTCATGAGCAGGCCTAAGCATTTAACAGTCTAACTAGACATCCTCTCTCCACTAAACATTTCTAATACATAAAGTATCTATCCAATTTCTATCTGACTAAAAATACCTAACACAACCATGTGGTCAGTATTAAGCGACAGAATTCTGCATTACTAACCCCTCATTTCCACCAGACACAGCTGCGTTGCATTCCGTGTGTGACATGGTAACAGAAACCTTTTGTTGCCAGTCTAGTCAATGGTTGTGAGTCCACCGGGTCCGGCTGCGTCGCGTCTCCGATCTGTCCCACTTCCGGCTCCTTGGTCTGCTTTGCTAAAGATATGCATCTGGTCAATTTTTGACGGATGTTGCATCTGGAACACGTCTGACAAAGTTTGACCCACCAGTCAGATAGTGCTTTATGTGAGAGATAGTGTGAAACATTGATGGGATACAAATTGATTAGCCTATTGTTAATAACGGAAACAAAGCCACAAATCTTTGCTCTGCCTTTCATAACCACTTAATTCTGACAGTTAGATTTAGCTGTTAACTGTAGTCTTTGCCTGTTGGCTACAGCACAGCAACATAGGAAATAAGAACAATAAACACAACAAACAAAAAAATGACCATTTAACTATGAAGCCTTCTTACTGTAGAAGTTCAGAAACAAAGGAAAATATCTTAAATTAAGAATTAGTACCACAATACGCCGTTCTGCAGACGGACCTGGTGGCAAATGAAGCTGCATAGAAGGTGGATCAAAACCGTGTTGCAGACAGAACGCAACACAGCCACACCTGTCAAAAATGAGGGGTAATAGGTTTAGGTCTAAAAGAAGGCATCAGGCCCATTCCTTATCCTGCATTTCAGTCTAGAAGTGTAAAGCTTAAGCATAATTATAGAAATTGCCATATGTAACCTCAAACCTGAGTTGTGGCTCAGGCAGAGCGGTTGTCCCCCAACTGGAAGGTCAGTGGGTTGATTCCCATTCTCCCCAGTCCACATGTTGAAGTATCCCTGGGCAAGACACTGAACCCCAAGTTGCTCCCAGTGGCCAGAGCAGTGCCTTGCAGGGACAGTGCCGCCATCTGTGCGTGCGAGTTGGCGCCACAGATGGCTGCCTCGGTTCTGTACCAGAGACAAATTCTTTGTGTGTGAAGCATACTTGGCCAATAAAAGTGATTACAATTTCATAATGATGATAATGATAAAGGGCCCCTACCCAGAAACAGAAAAAAAGAATTACATATTAACGGTTTCCTGTGGAGTTTTGACCACTGGTAGTACTATAGAGTGGTTTTCTATGAGTGGGCCCCTGTTTTTTTTTTAATTTTTTTTTTTTTGTTTTTGTCCTATGTGCGCACAGAAAGACTCATATACTGTACATGTGTGCAATACAGTACATAGCCCAGCTAATGGTTTCATACAATTGTACTAATCTGTGGGTGGTGGTCACATGCCAATATATGCTGCAATGCACCAACAACAGCAACAACGAAGACTGGTAGGCCTCAGGAGTATACTA